TGTATCGACATCTATTATTGACAACATCTTCACAAACATTCCTGAAAACATCTTGGTTTCCGGCGTTATTTCTCACTGTCTTTCCGACCACCAGCCAGTTTTTTCATCAATCAATCTTTCAAAAAAATGTTTATGTTTCCTGAAAAAAGAAATGCTCCATCAGTAAAATTTTCTTATTCAACAAACAGAATCAACAATCTAAATCAACGTCTCAGTCAGGTGAACTGGCAAGTCGTATATGAGAGCGCAAATATTGAAGAGGCATTCCAAACTTTTATAATTATTTTCCAGGAATGTTTTCGTGAATGCTGTCAAGTTACCAATCGAAATACTATTATAAAAACAATAAAAAACAAACCTTGGGTCTCTTCTGAGTTAAAAAATCTCATCACAAAAAGAAATAAAAGTTACAAAAAGTTTCTTTTGATTCCTAATAATAATAATTTAAATAAATTCAAAAGCCTTAAAATAACTTGTAATAAACTAAATAAATCTTTAAAAAAAAATTATTATCATCATCTTTTTGAAAAATATAGAGGAGATAGCAAAAAAACGTGGACTGCTCTGAACGAGTTAAAAAACGGAAAAGACGTAAAACCCGATAGAATACAAAAATTAACAAATGAAGAAATTGAAATATCTGACCCAGCAAATGCTTTAAATAATTATTTTGTTGAATTAGCACCGAATTTACTGAAGCTCATTCCACGAAATTCTCACTGGAAGAATTACTTCAAGACATTTGTTTCCAACTCGTTTTTTTGTAGATACGCAACGGCTGATGAGATCATTGCAACAACAAAATCTTTGAAATAAAAAACATCAAGTGGCTACGATGACATACCAACAAAAATTGTCGTCTCTACGATTCATTCTACTGTGTTTGTTCTAGAATATTTGATAAATCTATCTTTTGAAAAGGGCAAATTTCCAAGCTGTCTCAAAATCGCCAAGGTAATTCCTATTGAAAAAATTAAAGGAAAAACAGATTTATCAAATTTTCGCCCTATATCACTCTTGCCAGCATTTTCAAAAATACTTGAAAAACTAATGCACCGACGAATGACTAGTTTTTTGCAAAAAAATAATATTTTGTCAAATTCCCAATTTGGTTTCAGAGAGAAATTTTCTACAGAATTAGCAATCGTAGAACTAGTTCGCAAGATTGGCATCAATACTGAATGTAAGAGATTTGTCATTGGAACGTGCTTAGATCTGTCGAAAGCATTTGATTGCATCAACCACGACATCATGCTCAACAAGTTGGAAAAGTACGGTTTTAGAAATACGTCATTGCATTGGTTTCGTAGCTACTTAACAGAAAGAAAACAATTTGTCTATGTGAACGATGAAATTTCCAGTCTGCTCGGAAACAACAACGGTGTGCCTCAAGGAAGCATCCTAGGTCCTTTGTTATTTATATTGTACATAAACGATCTTCCAGCTGCATCAGCGTTTTTTGACTACGTAATTTATGCTGATGACACGAATGTTTTTAGCAGCGGCAGATCAATGAAAGAACTTATTGAGGAAACAAACAGAGAGTTAAAAAACATAATCTCTTGGTTCGAAGCCAATAAACTTTCAATTAACAGTTCAAAAAGCCAAATGATGGTTTTTGGACCCGTACAATATCTAAATTACAAGGAGCCGTATAAAATCATCCTAGGTAACAACACAATTGTTGAAACAAAATGTTTAAAACTTCTAGGCATGCTGCTCGATCAGAAGCTCTCCTTCAAACATCACATAAAACAAGTATCATCCAAACTTTCAAAGTCAATAGGAATGATAAACAGAGTAAAATCATTTTTGCCAAAAAACTGTTTGAATCTTCTGTATAATTCCCTGTGCATTCCGTTAATAAACTACTGCAACATTGTATGGGCTTCATCGTACCACACATCAACCTTACCAATAGAAATATTAATCAAAAGAGCAGTTAGATTGATAACGAGATTCAAACGATTTGAACACAGTCAACTATTGTTCAACAGCACGCGAAACTTGAATTTCTCGAAACTCAGCATTTACTTTCTGATGATTTTTGTTTATAAACAGTTAACCAATCGATTACCTGATTTATTTAACAGTTATTTCAAGATGAAACAACAATGTCGGCAACAAAATAATCTTGTCTCTAACAAGTCGAAAACGAATATTTTGTTTTCTCACGTGTATTGCAAGGGACCGAGAATCTGGAACGAAATTTTAAACAGTGGATTTAATTTTGAATTTATTTCGTTAAACAATTTTAAAAAAAGTTAAAAGAATATTTACTTAAGTTTAAAACATAAATTTTTTGTTTCTGAAATTACGTTTAAATTCTGTTGAAAATTTATAACATTTTAAAAATTATGTCAAGGTGGTCACACTCGATGAGTTTCTGAATAGAACTCTACTGTGGTCATCCTGTCTTCTTCCTATTGATATAAAGGGGAGAGAATTCTTTTTTTTTCTCTTTTTTAAGATTAATTTTGAGAAGCAAATAAAAATTCGTTTCGTTTCGTTTCGTTTCGTTTCGTATGTATGTATGTATGTATGTATGTATGTATGTATGTATGTATGTATGTATGTATGTATGTATGTATGTATGTATGTATGTATGTATGTATGTATGTATGTATGTATGTATGTATGTATGTATGTATGTATGTATGTATGTATGTATGCATGCATGCATGCATGCATGCATGCATGTATGTATGTATGTATGTATGTATGTATGTATGTATGTATGTATGTATGTATGTATGTATGTATGTATGTATGTAATATTATTTATATTTATTTTATCCAGCACGAATGAACACATCAATAATCATGTGAATACAGTGAATGTGCGGGAACAAAATTTGTTTAAATATGCAACTCGTCTAATTGTTAAGTCTGGCTAACGTTCGTTTCATGCACTCTTGTGGTACATATATATGCTCACATATATAAACATTTATTGATGCAGCATGTTCCGCGTTTGTTAACCTCCTGTTTAATTTTTCGAATTTTCTAACCGTAGATCGTAAATATATATACAATCAACATTGCTGCAATACACAATACATCCTCTTGACAACTGGCTTTTCCTATTTATTTATTTATTTTATTTATTTATCTGATAACTGGCTTTCCTCATCTGATCAATAAGTTTTCAATAATTTCACGCAAACGCTTTTCTCCACATGAAAAAAAAACTAAATATTAAAACCATCACAAATAAACTAAGATGTGAAAACTTGAAACAATGACAAACACAGAATGGCATCCCAATTGAAACAATAAAACTCATCCAACTTTAAAAAATCACAAAACAGTTTATCAAAACATGACAAATAAATAATTGAAAATATAAACCAATGAATGAGCAAGCTAAATTTCAAAGAGCAACGTAAAAACGCGGAAAATTTTTTGAAGCATCTTTTTTTCTAGCAAAATGAAGTGAATATTATTACAAAATCACATCTAATAATTATTAATATTACAACATAGGTTTTTTTTATTTTATAAACTTATATTAATTGAATCTAATTTTGATAATGAATGCTCATTTTATCGGTGAAAGTATTTGCGATTTCTGTAATAAGTCTTGTGAATGTTACTTGTTACTTTTATAATTGAAATTTTACATAAAATGAAAATATTTTCATTAATCATGAATATTTGTCTCTGGAATTGATGATAGAAATTGTAAAATTTTTGTGTCTCATTTGTACGTAATTATTTTTTTTTGACCAACCTTTTACTGTGGACGCCGATAAACGTTGTTATAACTGCCGGAATAATCAAATTGCGCTATTTTACTTGAGTATATCTACTTTGCTATATTTATTATCTTTGGATAGAGGATCGTAAAAAGATATCGTAAAAATCTAGGCGTAGTCAGGTTTGCGGCAGAGAAAGCGAAGTCGTAAATGTGATTTATGTAGTTACTTGGATTGGTTTATTTTTTCTACTTAACCGTTGGTATTCAAATAAACGTTCAATAAAGTTGGCGTTTGAAGCAGTTGTGTTCATCTATCGGAAATCTTGAATCCACGGAATAACGAACACTTGACGATCGTTGGAAGCGACAACACTGGTGTTGGAAATATAGAGATCGTTGAAGTTATAACATTGGTGTTTTTTAGTTACGAGGGTCAAGGGTTGCAGCAATATGTTGCTCATGCTTCATTGGGTATAAGTTCTGTAAACCGGCATGCAATTAATATTATTAATTCAAAACTGTGCAGTTGACAAATGACTGAATTTTTTTATGTTGTTCGATTTCTTCTTTGTTCGGTTTTTTATGTGAATTATTGTGTTTATTTTTGGGCAATTAAAATAATTAATAATTTTAAAATTACGCTTCACTTTTTTCCTCATTTCATCGAGCTACTTCTTCATTATCTAATTTTTATTTGAATTTGATTTTTGCCGCCTGTTTGTGTGTTGTTTTTATCGTTAAATATTTCATCACAGCTTTCTGTGCTGAAAATTAGGTTAGTATAAGCTTCAAGTCGGTAAAATAGTGGATGGTTTAAACTAAATTTTGAAACAGTTGATTTGCACATGACGCCAGAAAAATGACATGTTTTTATACACCAGCAAAACTTTTCAAAAAATGACAAATTAAAGCTCATTTTAAAACATTTTATTAAAATTA